CCTGTTGAGGAATCAGTCCTTGATAGCTGCTGAGGCATGATTGTGGCCTGAACTTGGTGGGAATTCTTTGAGTATTGGAGAGACCGGCATTAATTACATCTGAGGAGTCGATTGTGGGTCGCACAGATGCTTTTAAGGCATCACCCTGTAGTATAGTTGCACAGAACTGCTCTTCTCAAGGATGCTTGAGATGCAGAGAGGGGCATATATTGCTTTTCCCATCTTCCTGGTACGTGTGGATACTCCAGCTGCAGTGTCCTTGGTGGCCCTTGCTGTTCATCACACTGTGTGTGTGTGTGCAAGCTGGGAAGGAACATTGGCACCTTCCACATGAGTGTATGAGAGGGTCAGCTGCAGTCTGGATTCTTGATGGGAACAGCTTTAATTTAGGCTAAAATTTTCCGGTGTTTATGGCTCAGTTGAGTGCTGGCAGGGAGTAGGGGAAGAGATTATCCTGTCATGCAGGTAAACAGAGAAGGATCCAAACCACTATGTCCTTGTTGCTACAGCTCATAAAACCTCTGCTATAAAAAGGAGGAATCCAGGCAGCATGAGATTAAACCCCTTATGTAGGTCTGCAGAGGGAGGCCATGATGCATAGGTCCATCCTGTGGGTCTCCTGTTGTAGCAGCCCTGCTGGAGGAGGACCTTCTCCTCACCTTTCTGGCATGTCTGGTAGCTAAAGCATCACTGAAGTGATCTTTTTAAATAGTAATCTCCAGGGTGAGGAGAACAAAGGAGAGAAGAGAATTTAAGTTTCAGGATACATTACACTTAAAATTCCGAGACTGTTCCAGTGACAGGCAACATAAAGAATTAGGTTTACAATTTGAAGTAAGTTTCGTTGTAAAAATAATTGGACTGGTGAAGCAATCTTGCTCTCACTAAATTGCTTTTCTAGGAACCTATCCTGAGTGGGGCTGTGCAGCTCTTTCTGATATTTGAACATCCTCAGTTCTCATTGACTTCAGTGGGAATTGAACTCATTGAACTCCTCACTAGGTAATTAGTTCTATATAGGTCTGATTTTTCTGCAGCAAATCGGTAGCTGCCTTTACTTTCACTTAGCAGTCAGACCCAGTGCTCCTCAAGTCCCAGCCTTAGCCTCTATGCATCATTTAATGACTCTTTTGTGAAACACATACTTAAGCATTTGTGCTTATATTCTGTCGCTTGCTGTGAACAGGGTTCACAATAGTTTTTTTACAATGACTGCATCACATTACCAAATAGAACATGCAAAATACTTAATGGAACACCTTTCCAAAAATAACCCTGCAAGATAGTTTCTAGATTAGTTTAGGTTTGCTTTCTTTTTAAGTAGGATGAGTTTGTTTTGCCTTCAGAAAGGGTGGGATGCACTTCAAATATTAAGAGGACAACTTCATTCATGTGGAGGGTGAATGACATAATGACTGAGATAATGAAAATGAGATTTTCTACCTTCCCTCTCCATGAGAGAAGACCAACTGAAATGCAGTATATTTACAGCCCCTGATATTGCTGGAGCTCTATATGTTTTTGCTTTCATGGTCTCCATTTGAGCTACTGCACATCTGGGGATGATGGATTGCAGAGTACTGGATGTTGAGATGAAGAGAATCAATAGGATGATACAAAAGATGAAATAACTCTGATGGAACATCAATAAAGGCTAAAAGTTGCCATAGGGATTTGAATCTTAAAGAAGAGCTTGAGAAAATATATTAAGAATTCACTTTTCCCTTTGCACTTGTACTGCCTTTATTCCATGACGTCACATGGGGGTTCTTGTCAAGGGCAGGGATAAAGGAGGTTTTTTTTTCTTTTCTGTGTCAATATGGTGCTCAGTATGAAACCTGCTGGGCATGATGGCTTCTGAGTACTGTCACTGTGTCATTGTTACCTCAGCCCACAGTGGTGTGAATAAGAATGGAAGAGTAGAGCTTTTAGTTACCTCATGTGCTGTTATTGGGTTCAACACACACAAACTGCAGGAGAAGTAGAACTTCTGTTGTTGCTGAGTTATTCAGTGTTTAAGACTAAATGGTGTCACAGACCTGTATGGTGGTGTGCATAGCCTGGGCATTCCCAACCAAGAGTCTTTCCTTTTGACTGAACCAACTGGCAAGTTGTGCAAAAACAATTGCAGAACCCATATTTTGCCACTGTACAGTGATGTATTCAGTGATTTGTTGGGGTGCAGTTTGGAATATTTGATCTGAAATGGAAAGGAGTGTTTAGCAAGTAGCATACTTGCTGCAGACAAAAAGGTCTGTCGCATGCAAAATAACATCCATCTCTATCCAAGCAGAACTCCAGTTGCTGGGGATTATTGTTTTTTTTGCTTGTTTGTTTGTGTTTTGGGTTTGTATTTTGCTTTAGCGTAGACTAAATGAGGCTAATCTGATGTGATTCAGATTTCAGTAAATCCTAGTGCAAGGTCTTGCACCTGGGTTGAGGTAACCTCCCCTCCCAACACATTGGGGGATGAAATGGCTAAGTGCAGCCTGCCAAAAAGGACCTGGGGGTGCTGGTGGATGACGAGCTGGACGTGAGCCAGCAGTGTGCCCTTGCAACCCAGAAAGCCGAGCATATCCTGGGCTGCATCAAAAGAAGTGTGACCAGCAGGGTGAGGGAGGTGATCCTGCCTGTCTACTCTGTGCTGGTAGTACCTGTAGTACTGCATCCAGATGTGGAGCCCTCAGTACAGGAGAGACATGGAGCTGTTGGAGAATGTCCAGAGGAGGGCCACAGAAATGGTCCGAGGGGTGGAACACCTCCCCTGCAAGAACAGGCTGAGAGAGCTGGGGCTGTTCAGCCTGGAGAAGAGGAGACTTCAAAGTGACCTGAGAGCAGCCTTTCAGTATTGGAAGGGCGGCTGTAAGAAAGAATGGGACAGACTCTTTAGCAGGGACTGTTGTGATAGGTTTGAAGGTTAAAGAGAGTATGTTTGGGTTAGATATAAGGAAAAAGACTTGTACAGTGAGGGTGGTGAGGCACAGGCACAGGTTGCCCAGAGAGGTGGTGGATGCCCTGTCCTTGGACACATTCAAAGCCAGGCTGGACTGGATTCGGAGCAACTTTGTCTAGCTGTAGGAGTCCCTGTCTATTGCAGGAGAGTTGGGCCTAGATGACCTTTAAACGTCCCTTCGAGCTCTAAGGATTTTATGATTCTGTAATTTGGAGCTGCAAAACAAGAAAACAGAAGCATCCTTGAATCATTTTCCAGGCAGACAGGAATCCAGGTGGGAGATAGTGTTCTTTCCATGGTATATGGATAAATTTGATGAATTCTATGATTTCTAAATGATGCACATGTTGCAGATATACGGTAGAATTGTGATTTTATTGCTAGCTTTCACTAGGATCTTTATGTAGGAGGCACACCCAGAACCCAACATTAGGTTGTACAGTGGAGGTGCTATTGGATGTGAGTGAAGGTATCATGGTATGCATCTTAACATTTCTGCTGTAATGCTGAATCTTTCTGTTCTTACTGTTATTTGTTTCCCAAATGTTTATCAGAACTGCTTTCATAAACTACTACTTAATTTTTGCTTGCAGCACTATGCAAAAAAACCAAACTTCTGGTTGCAGATTGCATTCTGAAAGAGTATTCATTGCTCTCAGGTGCATAATTCATACTGATGCCACACTGTAGACTTTAATTAGAATTCCTAACTCCATCACTCTCAGGGTTTGAAACAAACACTAAATAAAACACGTAGCTTTGTCACAAAGTTATTTCAGAGAGGTAAATTAAGTTAGAACCATGAGCATTCCCCCTCTGAATTCAATATGCATTTTGAAACAGTGATAATATAGACACACCATTCAGCAAATATGGAAATTCAGGCTGTTAGTGTAGAAAACTGGAGATGTTTCTATCTAAGCAAACTATATGGGAGCTGCTCACTAAGACATGCCATGTAAAAACAGAGCTATTAAGGCATGGTTGGCACCATCATTTTTCTTTTGCAGATCTGATGGTATTTTCCAGCACTAACTTCTAGAGCTGAAATGAATTAATGCAAAAGTCAAGGTTAGGTCCTATACTTATTTGTTTTGTTCAAAGTCAAACTGTCACAAAAGGATGCAAAGGAATAAACTGTTCTGAAATGCATTAGTATTATTAGTAATATATTAAAATGCAGCACATTTTTAAAACTATTACTTGTTTCAATTCTGTCTTCCAAGGAATAGAGTACTTAATCAAGCAGTGCATTTAAGTTTATGACTTATTTCAGGCATGAGAACACAGAAGAACTACTCACATGCTTAAAGTTAAGCACAAGATTAATTGGACAAGGTTAATAGCCCTGCTGGGATGAGATCGAGTACTCAACTACAAGGACTTGACTCTTCCAATCTTCCTTATAGTTTGTTCAATTCTGAGACACCTATTTTGTCCCATTGCATACAAGTGGTGTAGCCAAATGTTACTTTCATTGTAAATCTAAAGATGAAACCTTAACCTCTGGGATCAGGATTTCTCCCTTAATAGTGCATTGCTCTGACTTCTCTGGCAGCTCAAAGTTCACACGAGTTTAATGGAGAGTGTCCTCTAGAGAGAGCTGCTTTGCAGGTGTGGCAGCTGAAGGGCCCAGAAGTGAAAGTAGTCAGGCTTAGGCTAGTTAGCACAAGGAGATAAAGTGTACCATTAACCAGCTGCAGCTGATGTTCTGAGCTCAAGCCTTTTCTCTAAATCTAGGGCCTACAGACATTAACCTGAGCTTTCCCATGTGGCAGATGAATGCTGCGAACAGTGGGCTTTTGAGGGGTTTAGATTTTGCTTTGGTTCTCCCAGGAGTCCCAGAACTTAGGGGTTTCAGTGAACAATCTGCCTCTAAGTCTTAAGGTTTGAACTGTAATATTTCTTGGGGCAGGCAGCTGGGAGGCAGCCACAGGGTGCAAAACTCAGGCGCTTCAAAAAAGCTTCTTAAGGCACAAAACAGTTCCTGTACAGATCTGCTGTATTCCTTAGGGTAACAACAACACTTTTGTTTCTCTGTTTTCAGGTTGCTCCTGTAGTTAAAGAAAGGATGATGAAGAAGGGCAGCATGATGCTTGGGTACCAGCCTAACCAAGGCAAAGTCAACTTCTTCCGCCAGGTGGTGATCAGCCCACAAGTGAGTCGAGAGGACATGGACTTCTTGCTGGATGAGATAGAACTGCTTGCCAAGGACTTGTAGCTGTAACTCTACAGCACCGGGCACTGCTTGTGTGTGATGATTATGGAGACAGAATGGCAGCAGTGCTCTGGTGCTATTGTGTGAAAGGTAGTAAAAAGCTTGACGTATAGTTTGGAAACTATCATTTAACATTGTGACGTTCAGAGTTTTGCAGGTAGAATTCCCCTCCACGGGAAAGTATTTGCTGATGGAAGCTGGGACAGGGCAGTGCCTGCAGCACCACGGCCATTCTGGGAAGTGTTTCCTAGAGCAGGGAGCACTTCTGAAAATGGTGTCTTTATCCCAGAGAGGGCTGCTATTCATGGGGTGCCTGCGTAGCTTGGACTGATTGCTTATATAGGCAGGCAATATTCCTCTGAAGTTACTGTTAGTAGCGAATTTAGCTCAGTGAGCTTTAAAACGCTCATTAGTACTCTGTCTACTTTGTCAATATTTTAGTTTGGTATGAATTTAAGAGTACAGACCCGGCTGATATTTACACTGATAAGACTGGAAATTGTGAACTTCAATGAAGAGTTCCTCAAGGAACTCTTAGGTGACTCAAGGAACTCAGTTGTCCTCAAAGAACAATTAGGTGAATTGCCCAGATTTCCCACTGTGAGCACTACTACAGGCAGCAGAACAAGGGCCTGGCGAGGCTGTGCTGTCACCATCCTTGAGGTTAGCAGGACCTGGCTGGACAAAGCCCCAAGAAGTCAACACTGACCTTGCTTTGAGACAGTAGGGCTAGATGACCTCTTAAGGTCCCTTCCAACCTAAACGACTTGTGGTTCTGTAAAATCAAATGGTTGGGCCTGGTCACTGTTTGCCAACATTGCCTACACTGCAATAGCAGTGCTGAGAATATTGGAAGTGTCAGAAATTCTTACCTCTTTGGTTATAGTTATAATTTCTGAACTATATTTAAAGCATAAATATTTATTTAATGGATTTAGATGCACTTTAAAATTATAACAGATGAAAAAAAAAAAGTATATGTACCTGAAAGATATGTATTTTTAAACTTGGCAACTATATGTTAAACATGTAGAAAAGTGATAGTTTTCATCGTCAGTCTGTATTTGCCTATATTAGATGTGAGATGACTTGATTTTACGTTATCAGTGTATAATTTATACTTTGGCACTGAAATCAACGTGGAGGTGATCAGTGATAGCCTACCTGTTTTTATGATGGGAGCCATCGAGTATCTTTTGTTAATCTTATGTTGCAAAGTTAAGTTCTAAACTTTGTGTTAAGAATTATAGTATCCTTTTGATTTGTTGTCATTCTAGATATAAAAGGGGCAGCTTTGTAAATCTAGAGATGTATTTCTTGGAGTGAATTTCTTGCAGCAGACTAATGAAAATAACATGTTTCATCATCTGATTAACACCTACTTACCTTATTGTTTTGATGTTTGTTCCTTATTTTGTTTTTGAGGTAGCACTGACCAATGCAGATCTTTCTGCTGTAATGTGTTGATGAAAGTTGTCTTTAAACACAATGCTTTTATGTTTTCATTTCTCACGTTATGCTAGGATCCAACACTGCATGACATTCCTACTTCCCACCTCCAGGATGATGGTATGGAAAGTTTAGCAGGGTCATGATAACCTAGGAGGTCACACTGTCAGAGAGTAGATAGAAGGAGGAGTCAAATCTGCAGAACTTGACAGATGTCCTTAACAGTGTCCTGGAAGTGATTATTCTGTTGCTATTACAGCGAGTCACTGGATATTAAGCTGAACTCCACATTGATATTAACATAAAAATAAATGGCACAACATGGCCCCTTGATTCTGCACTGTAATATTTGCAGAATACTTCATCATTTACTCTCTAGTGCTTCTGGGTATACCAGTTGTTATGGTTTTGTAAAGCACATAACTAAATGCAGGGCCCACAAAGCTTATTTAGCCTCTCAGCCACTCTGGGTGGAGTGCAGAGCATGTCAAGGGCTGCTGGATGGATGCGATGACTTCGCTGTTGCTTCTGAAGGTAGATAGGACTGTTCACCCTTCACTTTTTCTTTTTTGTCCTTGAAGGGAGTGAGAATACTGTCAGGATTCTTTTATTGCTATCCAGAGTCTTGGTGAGTACTTAATTTTTTGACTCAGAGGAAGTGTGTCACTTGCTGTCAGCTGAGAATTTGACCTGGTGTTTTGTGACACCACTACTACCAAAAAAGTGTTGTTTCTTTCCATGTCAGCACATTTTTCTGTTTCCAGGTACTGTGGGACTTCTGTCACGTGTTGGGTTGAAGTAGCAGTTTCTCCTGTGTCAGTAGTGGCTATAGTTCTTTTTTTAAATGAGGGGAAAATGGAACTTTTTCAATGTTTGCAGAAAGTGTGTCTCAGATCAACAAGTGCACTGATGTTTTCAGAGGTATGGTTTAACCTTTCAGTGTGATGTGAGTGCCTTCTCTGATGTCTCTGTATCTTCTTGTGTTTCTGACCCCTTACCACGTCCATTGTGGTCTCATTTCAGGACTATTGTAATTTTTTTCATAGTTGCTTATTTAGGATTGGGATGTTCGAAATGGCTATTTTGTAGCTGATGATTTTAATAAAAAGTGAAGTAAATGACACCCATATAAATGTAGGCTGTGTTTGTAATTTCTCGATCTAAAACTGCAGAGATGTGTACAAGAGAGGTACCAATGAGCTCTCCAGATGGGGAAACAGCAAGCTGCCTGCACAGCTTTAGAATGTGAAACCTAGCTTAACCATGCTTCAGGATGTGGTTTGTCTGTGTGCTGTGCCCTTATCATCTTTAATAAACATCTTGGATGAAAATGTGTCACCATTTATCTTGCTCTCGCTTTCAAATGCAGAAGCTAAATTATTTTTGCAGAAATGGCTTTTTTTTTTTCTTTTAAACTATATGGGACTGGCCCGTGAGCTCTCTCCCACTCCTAGTTACTGAGTTACATCTCTCAGGATGCTCAGCCAATTGTGAAGGTAGTGGAGAACAAGTATAAATCAGTGTAGAAACAGATCCACTGGCTGATTTGTTTGTTTGCTTGTTTTTTAAATTTTATGTGTCTGCTTTTAATAATCTTTTTTCAATACGGAGCTTTAGGAAAGAAAGTAAATACTTAGCAGGGATGCTGAGGTAGTTATTGCTGTCAGTTATATGGATGCATCTTCTGAGAACTTCAGGCATTTTGTGCTGGATCCATGTGCAACGTCACTCACAAATCATCGTGCCTGAAGCCAGCACTCTTGCTTTCAGGACTTCCAATACAATTTCCTGTGAAAGATTGATAGAGATTAATAATCAATAGAGTCTGCTTTGTATGACTTTAGTGCTTCTGACTCCCACTGATTTAACTGGAAACCCTTGCTGGATTGGGATGTTTCATTTCCGTATCAGTAGTTTGTCACTCAGAACATCTCAGTTTATCTACTCAAGGCTCATGCTGAAGATCAGGTTTATCTGTGTGTCTGTAAGACTGAACTGGAATGTATTTTCATTTGTATCAGCCAATGATGTATTAAGATGCTTTCCAAATAACATTTGACCCTTAAAGAACACCATGTAAGAATTTGCAAAACCCCCTGTTATGTGTCCAAGATTTCTTCATACACACAGATCTCAGCATTCAATCACGCTCAAATTATTTTTATTTTTAAATCCTTGAGTTGCGTGATCAGACTTAAAAAACAAACACACAGAACTGATACGAAATGTTGAATACAGAGGAGGAGAATTCAGCAATACTTAATGCTCAGTTTGCTGTCTCCTATTTTATCACATACAAGCTCTGCAAAAAGCCAGCAGTACGTTAGAAGTGTAATTTTAATGCCCAGTTTTCAACTGCTCCAACCCTGCATGGCCTTTCTTCCCTGTTGGCTGCTTATGGGCAATCAGCAGGAGAGCAAAGTGTGCTCATCCAGGAAATCTGTTCTAGGTAAGGCCCACTGACATGATGGCCCTTCTTCCTTTGGCAGAACTACTAAATGCTGATACATCATTTGAGTTCATAGATGCTGTATTTAGTGCAGTAGCTACTGTTAGATCCTGAAATAATGCAATTGGACATGCTAATTGCAGGTTAGGTGCAGTCGAAGCGACGCTGTCTGGCAAATGCACTGTGCAAACCATGAGAAGCCCTGGCAGAGAGGTTTTCTTCCTTTAACTTGAACGTAGTCTCCCACAATTACATGGTTTTGCTTCAGATGTACAATTAGATGTTATTACTCTAATTCTGTAACTACACAATAATCATCTAAAAATTACTTTGAGAAACAAAACAAAACAAGGAAATTTGCACAGTGAGAGGTACAATAAAGAGAACGTCAAAGGTTTCAAGGCAAACCCACAGTAGGAAACAATGGGTAATGGGAACAATTAACCCTTGCTAAAATCTAATTTACGTGAATGCTCTGCAAGGCGGCGCAGGAACAGTATGGTGAGATGATAGCAGCCATTATATAGAATCACTACAGAACTTTTGTATCCCCTGACACTGCAGCCATCTGCCCCAAAATATCACAGTCCACCCACTGATACCAGAGGAGACCTTAAAGAAAACACCACACCTTGTAACATGGTAATGGCTCTGTGTGTAACAGGATAAAGTGAAACTGGAAGGGCAATGTTGAAAAAAGTCCACCAGAGATGACCACTGTAAGCTCACGTACGTTCAAGGTACAATTGATCACAAAAGGCAAGTGACAGAAGGTGATGGGCATGGGCCTTTCAAAGTCTGCTGAGCACGTTCTGTTTTAATGAAGTAATTTCTTTATTGTAAGTAACTCTGAGAGCAATCATTTCTACAGAACTTCTTACAAATGGAAAGTATGATGAGAAGATTTGCCATGAAAGAGCAGAGGCCCATGGAACAGAGCATCTGCCTTTGGGACCATGTGCTCTGTACTGTCCTTTGCACAAAGCTGCTCTTCCAAGAAGCTTTCACCCCACCAGTCATTCTGGGAAGTGACTCCTTGGAATGGGCTGACACTGGCACTGGCAGCCATAGCGTTATCCAGTCTGCTCTTCTTGTTCCAGGTAGGAAGGATTTTTTTTTGCTATTTCTCTGATTCTGTACTCTCTCTTGTGCTTGCAAAATACAGTTTATTTGCAGGGAGATTTTCTGTATTTGGCATCATGGGGAAAATGTCAGCATAGCAGAAGGGGGAAGATTGAAATGTGGACCAAAAGCAACATTCAGGGTTGTATCTTGGAGTGGTGTTTGCCTTCTCTGTCTCAGCCATGGGTTTTTCTCGATGTTCAGATGATTGTATGTACCCCTTGCAGTACCTAAAGGGAGCCTATAAACAAGGAGGGGAGTCAGCTTTTTACAAGGGAGATAACAGCAGGATAAGGGGAAACATTTGAAGTTGAAGGAGGGAAGATTTAGGTTGGATGTCAGAGGGAAGTTTTTTACTATGAGAGTGGTGCGGTGCTGGAACAGCTGCCCAGAGAGGTTGTGGATGCCCCGTCCCAGGAGGTGTTCAAGGCCAGGTTGGATGGAGCCTGGGCAGCCTGGTCTAGTATTAGATATGGAGGTTGATGGTCCTGCATGTGGCAGGGGGGTT